ATGTCTACCCTGAAAATTAAGCAGTTTTGCCATTTCATAATACTTAAAAATATAAAAAGTTTTTAATAAAATGCCATAACAAGTAGTGCCACACGCAGTTTTAAATGCTGTCAAGAAAGTTAAGAAATTTGTTGTTAGATTTTTTACACAGTTATGGGTTTTCTCCCTTTTTTTTTCTTTCTCCTTATATTTACTTGATTTTTTCTCTCAGTAACACAAATTAAATATCATGGGAAATCTGAATTTACTTGTAATAAAGAATACAGTCGATCTCCCTATAACACTGTTGATAATTCCGTTTTATATGAATTCCATGTTGTACGAGTCACTTAGATTTTACAAATACGTGTGCCGGGCTGTGAATGGCTCACGTATTTGTAAAATCTAAGTGATTCGTACAACATGGAATTCATATAAAACGGAATTATCAACAGTGTTATAGGGGGTTGACTGTACTTCAAATCAGGAAAAATTATCTATATATAATCATTGACAAAAAGTTATACACTCATTTAATTTCAGACTGTTCATCTGGACTATTCTGACCTCACTGTGATGATGTTTGAGGCAGTGGATAAGTCAGATTAGGAGCATTGAATATGCGAGGGTGTGCACACTGTAGGCAATCATCTAGGGTGCAAAAATTTAGGGGTGTTAAAGCCAGCGTCAGTTAAATGGAAATATTTATTTTAATTAGACGTATTATGTATACATCCAGAGCTGTTGCATATAGGTTTACAGGTTATTTGATGCACAAAGTGTCTAGTAGTAAAAAGAAAGGGTGCCAAAAACTCTTGGGCCAGCTCTGCATAGGAAGACCAATAAGGAGAGATGATTTTCTGATTGAGAGACAAACAGTAACAGCTGTAGTGGCATCTTTATCCACTATCCAGAGACAAGTGGAAGACTTACTAAAGAATCCTCTCTCATATAGTGTTGACAAACAACTAGCAGCATGATGACTGCTGTGTATTCTGCCATTAGTACCCCAACATTATCCATTTCATTTGCAGTGGTACCATAACAGAGAAATATGATCTGCTATAGACTGGCAGCATATTGTCTTTTGTGATGAATCTTGGTTTTGTTCGGGAAAAGATGGACCACTGTTGAGTGGCATACTGTCCCCAACTGGCTTGCTGGTTTGAGCAGCCATCTCATGTGACATTGATCATCCCTAATAGTGCAAAAAGCATTGATGCCTTTTATGGCATGGTTTCAAACAGTCATTTTCCAGCAAAATAATGCTCAACTACACATATCTAGGGTTTTTCAGGAATGTCTCATAATGCCACATTTCCTTGCCCTACTTGATCTCCATATTTTTGCTTATCAAACATTTCTAGAATCAAATAGGACACTATCTATGAGTGTGATGGGATGTGGAGTGACAATTGCAACATACGTGGGCTTAATCTGTTGCAGATCTGTCTCATGATATCACTAGGTACTGTATGCATGCATACTCAACTATAACATGTATTCAGGCAAGAGGAGGTTCTACAAGATACTGTGATTTTCTTAAATTGTACAAGTACAGTACCATTATTCTATAGAAACTTTTCCCTTTGCTGTGGTATTGTAATCACTTATTTTTGAGATCATTATGTCTGCACTAATAGTTTCATTTGATTTCAATGCTTTCTTGGTGTTTAACTATTTTGTTAATGAATGTATTTACACAATTTTTGATAACAAATTTGTGTTTTGTTAAGCTAAATTTTACTGTTTAATGAAAAATTCAGTTTGAATCTTTTATTTGACTTTGTATAGCAAAAAGCATTTCAAGTATATTGATAAAAGACAACTTAATATAATTAAGAACTAATCTTCATTTTCTTTGGAATCTGTTTCCACATAATTGGAATTGACTTTTCTGATTGTTGTTCCCAAGTTCACTTATCATTAAATAGGAATTAATTCTTTTAAATAAATAAGTTAGAATATATCTTTAAATAAGTTTCCATAAAATAATTGACATATTATAAAAATGTATGCAAAATTTTAGTATTTGTATTGTATTAATTATTATAAAAATGCATATTTTCTCCAATTCTATTGAATATAATGTATCTGAATATTGGTTCACTTTCTTTTTTATACAAATTGCTGATTTACTTTTCCTTTGATGTTTTCAAAGATGAAATATTTAAACTCTAAAAACAAATAATTTGAATTATAAATACAGTCTTACAACTTAATTCAACAAGAATTTCTGACTTTACTAAATTTTATAAATTTTTATTTTATGATTGTAATTAATTTAGTTTATAGATAAATATTTTTGAAGACTAATTAAATTTGAAACATGTTACTACATACAACTGATAATGCTTAAAAGAATGATTAAAAAAAAGTAAATCTCTACACAAAGATCAACTCTAGTATATATAAATCCCAAGTACATTCAAAGAAACCAAACAATACAGAAAAAGTTGTTATGTATCTGAACCCATTTTCTTAAGTAATCTGCATAACATTCTTATAAAATAATATATATATATATATATATTATTTTCGAATTTAGAATTGCAAAAGTAATACAATGCATTAATTTAATATAATTATATATGAAAATAAAATGCGATATAACTTCCTTAAAATTTCTCGATAAGAGTTAACATTCTATGACTTTCAAATGTTCTCTCCTCTCTGACATTTTATGATTAAGACTTTCTTTATTGCTTTAGTTTAGAAAAATGGAAATATTGAATAAATTATGTAGGCTGGTTGCCAAAACTATTTTTCTAAATTTAGATAACATATTGGATAAATGTATAGACTGGTTGTTTTGTTAATAACTTTTTCAACCATGAATAATATATGAGTATAAATATATAATGAAATTGTATGAGATGTGTTACTTAAATTTGAGAGAAAAGACTTTAATTTCGTTAATTAATAAAATAATAATCTTTTTCCCTCAATATTTATGCTCATTTTTTACTTTTTTAAATAGTTTAAACAAGTGAAAATTTTTTTGTGTGTGTTATTTTTACGTTATAAATGAATAAAAAATTAATTTAAAATTAATCATCAATTTTTATGAATTTTTTTTATTTAATTAGAAAAATGGATTTTATTATTTTTGCATATTGTTTTGAAGTAATCATTATCAAGTAATAAATTATTTCAAATGCTAGATGAACTTTTTATTTGTAATTTTTTATTATCTAATCTCTAACAATAATTGACTCATAGGAAAAATTTATTGATCTTTCTTATTGCTTAAAATTTAATCTTCAAATTTTAATCAAACTTAATTATTGTGGAGTTAAATAAAATCTTTCATATGGGATTAATTATTGTATTAAACATGAAAGGAAACAACTGTGTTTATTTTAGACATTATTTACAATATGCTGTTGTAGAAAACCAATTATTTTTGATTCATAAACAATGTTTTTTATTTTTATTTTTTGAAGCATTCAGTAATGTAAAGAATGACAGATTTATAAACTATTGTCATGGGGCTTTGTTGTTTTATAAAAAGAATAGATTAAAATTATCTTGTAATTTTTATTTGAAATTTTTAATATTTAAACTAAACATTTAATTTTGAAAAATTATTAAAATAATTCTTTTTGTCTTTTTAATTATAATAATTTCCATTAGAAAAAATTTTCTTTGTGGTTTTAGGTTGAATTTTAATTAGTTTCAAGCAATATAATATGATTAAATGAAGAATATTGTATTTTTTAAGAAATGATTTAATTGCAAAAAAAATAAAAAAACAAAAAACCTCATTAGCTTATGACCGGTATGTGTATTTTAATTAAATTTGTTTTGCGGAAAAAATATTTTTTTTTAATAAAGGTTTACGTACTTAGTAAATTAATAAGATCTCCTCATCATCATGCTTTAATAAGGACGATGATGTTTATGTTTTGGCAAATTCGAAGATTTCTAAAGTTATATTATTATTTTCTCATAAAATAAAATCATTCTTTAAGTAAACTCTTATATAGAAAAACATAATAAAAGAATAAATTATGAATATTTTAAACCCATTGATTAATCTAAAATTCTTTATATAAAGTTATAATTTAGATGGTATAAAAGATACTTTTTCACTATGCTATGATCAAATAAGTAGAATTAATTACTTTGTATACCATGTAATTATATAATAATTTATTTAAAAAATTAAATAATGCATGCAAAAGCAAATAATACATAATTTATTTTTTGATATGATTTTTAAGATAGCCAAATGACTTCAAGCAGTTCCTTTCTAGAAAACCTGTATTACCTGTTCCTGAATACTTGATTTTTATAGTGATAATACTTTATTTTCTTACTAAGACGAATATATATATATTTACATCCCAAACACATTTCTGCACCATATTAACAATAAAGCCTTGAATATGAATTATTTCTAAAGTGTTACATGTGTTTAATAAAAAAAATTTTCTAAAGTAAAAGTGTTAATATTTGATGGCTATGAATTATTCATTGTCATAATTTACATTTTTGTTTTTTTTTTTTGTACATTTTATTTTAATATTGTTAAAAATTCTGTAACAAATGGAATTAATTTTCTTGAAAATAATGATTTTAATTTGTTTCTGAGAAGTCCGTAAACTGTCCGAACCTTAAAAGTTTTATGAATAATTGATTACTATGCTAAGTGTTGTTTTATTTTTATAATAGTAAAACATTGTAAATTATTTGCAATTTATAGTGTGAATGTAAAATTTTGTTAAATGTGTATATTTAATACATGTTTTTGTTTAAAAAGTATATAAAATTTGCAAATTTTTTGTTATAAAATCTTTTTAAAATTGAGTTTCTTTATTTTATTATTTTTTGTTTTAGAAAAGTTAAACTAAAATTTTTCAAAATTTTTATAAATTAGATCATAAAAATTTTGCTAAGAACATTAATACAAACTATTTTATTTGCTGTCCGTATAAGTAGTTTTTGTTCGCTCTCAAAAATAAACAGTCATAAATTTGTTATTTAATGAATAAAAATAGAATTTTGCATATTTTCAGGAATGGGATCAATACTTAGAACAACAGAAAGAGATAGAAGAAAAATTACAAGAATTGGAAGCCTCTCCTCCTAGGTCAGCTTTTTAAATATTTATAAATTTATGCTAAAGATAAACGTATAATTTATAAGAAAAACAAAAACAAGGGAAAAAAATTATATTTGCAAAATATGTTAAGTTAAATATAAATATGAGACGACTTCTTTCTAAATGAATTTACAGAGTTTTATTATCGAAAATATAAAAAAAAAAACTTCATCCGAGATAGCAATTATGTGGAGTCAAATTGCCATTTATTTATGTAATATAAATATAAAAACGGAAGGAAATATGTACATAAATTTGTTTCATAAAGTAATCAAATTGGAATATGCAGAATTGGCAAAACAGATAGTCGAAAATATATATATGTAAATTTTTATGATATGGAAATTTTATTTAAACACACTTAAGGACTGTTTTTGCTTTTAATCATTAGATTTTATAGCATTTTCAAAATTTTACATAATACCTCTTTAAATGGTTAATTTTATCATCGATTTTTCTAGTTTACTGACTGGAAGATTGCTTAACTTGCACAATTAATTAAAAAAAAAAAAAACTAATAATAATTGAAAGTGAATTTTAAATAATTAATTTTAATGCAGCATAAAAGTTGTTTCAATAAATTAACTGGCGCGATTTAATTTGCAGTGATGTGTATCTTTCTTCTCGTGATCGACAAGTGCTCGATTGGCATTTTGCCAATCTGGAATTTGCTAATGCCACACCACTTAACAATTTGTCTTTAAAACATTGGGACCAAGATGATGATTTCGAATTTACCGGGAGTCATCTCACAGGTATGATATAAAATTATTTCATTTAATATAAAAAGTTATGTTTCAAATGCTTGTTGGGGATTTTAAATTCATTTCTGAAATGTGGAAGAAGTACTTTAAACAATATAGAATTGGTTAAGTAATGAATAATTGTTGTTTATAAGATTACGATAAAGAAATTAGAATTAAGTTCAGTATTGTTAATGCATTTTGATGAGAATAGCCTATTTTTTCTTCTTTTTAAAGTTATTCTTATAAAACAAACCTGATTTTTACACAAAATTCAATATGTGCTCCTTTAGCAAAATTTCTTACTGAAAGAAGTGCATTTTATACAGTTATTCAGAAAGTCATATTTTGAGTGCTTGTTATTTTTATTCTAATAAAGTTAAATTCCTGTTTTATATAAAATTTATAAAATTAATAATGTTTTAAATGTGACGGGAGAGGGGAAAAGCTTATAAATGATGTTAAGCAATTCACGGAAAACTTCTATATATACATACATTTGTTTTTCTTTTATTTGTATACAATACTTGTTACTTTAATTTTGTGATGTTTTGATTGAATTGCATTTTTAAATTTCAAATGTAATGTTTGAATTGCTAAAAGTATGTAAAATGTGAGAAATATTCAAAAATGGTCATTCTGTGATATGGGATTAATTATTGTATTAAACATGAAAGGAAACAACTGTGTTTATTTTAGACATTATTTACAATATGCTGTTGTAGAAAACCAATTATTTTTGATTCATAAACAATGTTTTTTATTTTTATTTTTTGAAGCATTCAGTAATGTAAAGAATGACAGATTTATAAACTATTGTCATGGGGCTTTGTTGTTTTATAAAAAGAATAGATTAAAATTATCTTGTAATTTTTATTTGAAATTTTTAATATTTAAACTAAACATTTAATTTTGAAAAATTATTAAAATAATTCTTTTTGTCTTTTTAATTATAATAATTTCCATTAGAAAAAATTTTCTTTGTGGTTTTAGGTTGAATTTTAATTAGTTTCAAGCAATATAATATGATTAAATGAAGAATATTGTATTTTTTAAGAAATGATTTAATTGCAAAAAAAATAAAAAAACAAAAAACCTCATTAGCTTATGACCGGTATGTGTATTTTAATTAAATTTGTTTTGCGGAAAAAATATTTTTTTTTAATAAAGGTTTACGTACTTAGTAAATTAATAAGATCTCCTCATCATCATGCTTTAATAAGGACGATGATGTTTATGTTTTGGCAAATTCGAAGATTTCTAAAGTTATATTATTATTTTCTCATAAAATAAAATCATTCTTTAAGTAAACTCTTATATAGAAAAACATAATAAAAGAATAAATTATGAANTGTATATATAAGAGATCTTATAAGTTTATACTTGCCTAATACTTTGGGTGATCTAAAAACTGATTGATTATAGCTTATAATACTTACACAGGTATGTGCCTCTTAATAATGGAGCTGAGATTATAATAGAACTGAAAAATTTGTAGCCATCTGTGTGTACCTTTTCTATGTTTAGATGTGTTTAGATACATTAATATTTATCATTGTGTTACTATTGTTACATAAAGCCTATATGAATAATAGATTGTACTATATAGATTTGTCTAACTTGTAAGTACACTCTATGTTATTTACTTAAAGACAAAGTTACTTAATGGCTTATTTCTTGTAATGTATCTCCTATGTTAAGCAGCACATACCTGTAATGGAAAAGTTTTGTCATTGTTATTGATTGATACATTTTTGAAATATTTTTTCATAAATTGATGATTTTATAATACTTATGGAATTAAAAACTGATGACACATTTAGTTTACGTAAAGCTATTTTATATAATTTAAAAAGTTGTTTGAATTTATTGTTGTTTATTTATTTATTTATTTAAATCAAGACAAAAAATTTAAAGAAATATTTTATTAAAATAGTCTTGTAATGTAATTTTAGTGTTTTTTGAAGGAGATATTCTGTTTGAATCTTTAAAGATTCAAATATGTTCAGATTTGCATCTAAAGGTAATGTGACTCAGCTTCAAACATGTTAATGCAATGTAAATAAGACATTTTATTGTGACAAAGTTTATTGTGTTGCTGTTGTCTATTGTTAAAGGTTTTTAATATGTTTCAGTATTCACTTCAGCTACATTGAAATTACTTCTACTTGAACAGTTCAGGTTACGATTGTCATGAATGAAATAAGTGGACGTAGAAAACAAAAAATAAAAAGAATTCAAAGAATTTAGTTTAAATTTCAGAAACGTTTTTTAATAATTGGAATTAGTTTTGATTACTAATCCTATCTCTATAGAAATCTTGGGCATCATACAAATTTATTTATTGTTTTAAGTAATTATGATACTGGAAAATTTAATAAATTCTTGTTAATACAATTGTTAAATTTTCATTGACACACATTCTTGATGCTAATAATATTTCTAAATTGTCTATTTAAATAATTAATTTATAAAATTGTCACTCTTTACTTAATAGAATGCTTATATCAATAATTTGCAAAAGTACATTAACAATTACCAGTACTAATTAAGATTATTTAATTTAATTTTGCTTATTATTAAATATATTTCTGCTTAATATTTAATGTTAAAATAGAATTAATATGTCTATATATTAATTTCCTCTTTAGTTATGTGTGTAAGATCTTTCTAAATTATTTAACAAGGACAACAGATTTGGAATCTTTCTTTTATTCAGATATAAATTATGCAGAGATAGGAACTATATGTATATTTATATAAATATAAGTGCTGTTCACTCAAGCATTGACAGTATAAAAGAATTAAGTGTAGGATTATTATTAATTTTGATTAAGCACAATGGCTACAATGCCCTTTTTTCAAAAATAATCTCTGTTAAAATTCAACAAAACAAAAAATAATTGTACTCAAATGATTGATATGATTTTTTTGGCAGAAAAGACATATTTCATTAAGCTAAAAGATAAAAAATAATCAAAAATAAATAAATAAATATAAATCATAAAACTTGAATATAATTACGTATTGTGACATTGTCATAATGCCAGGCTGTAATTTTTATTCATATTTTAATTTAAAAATCATGTGACTTTTGGTCCAGAGCGGAAGTTCATATATAGTTAATTGGGACCTCTGGCCTCTAAGTTTTCCATATCTGTTCTAAATTTTTATCTGTCTAGCTCTGTTCTTGAGATTATGGAAAAAACAAACAGACAGATAGCTGGACAACAGTGGGAATCTATGTCTGCAATTTAAAAATTTCAGTCCAGTGATAACTGGATCTTTAAGATTAAAATTACAGTTTATATAACATATAAAGAATCATTAATAAGTAAATATATGAATAATAAATAAGAAGAGTCATTATAATTTAATAGATTAATACACGTAAAAGTTAGTTCTGTAATATTAAAAGTTTGATTAAACATAACTACAAACTAGAAAAACTCTGCCACAAATTCAAAAATATGTGTAATGATGATACAACTAAAATTCATGGAGCATCTTCATAAATAATGAGAGATTGAATTTATATTTTAAAAAGTTTTTGATTATATAGAAAAAATAAATATCTTGAATTATTGTTAATGCAAAGAAGTTATTTTTATTTTCATTCATTTAGTCTTTTAAATTATGTATGATGAATAAAATTTAAAAGATTTGAAAAGGAAAACATTTCAAATGCAATTCAAAATATTCCAAGGTATTGGCAAATCAGACAAAATCATAAATCCATTATTATTATAAGAATCCTACGTCAAACATATGATCAGAAGATGTAAATAAATCTGCCTAGAAAATAATTTTTAATGAAAATGGCTAATCTGGAAATTAGATAGAAATACATTATCAAGAAATTTAATATATTTTTTTCTTTATTCTGAATTAAGCACCTGAAAACATAATTTATGAAAATAAATTGATGGGAAATTAAAGATTTATTTTTAAATAATAGCAATTATTTATTCTTGAAGTTAGGAATAATTTATCTATTTGAAAGTCAATGTACTTTAACAGTAATTTTGTATGATTAAAATTTAAATGTTGAGTGTTGATTTTCAAATTAAATTGTTATTCTGAAATATTTTAATGATATGTGATTAAATGTTATTTTAAGAATTGAAATACTTTTGTGAGAATTGTAGAAAAATATGCAAAAATCAGCTTTTTTCTTCCTCTCTCTCTCCAATCTGCAAGTTTTACTCAGAAAAAATCAATACTTTTTTTATTTCAAGTTTTAGAGAATTTATTTATAAGATTCACTTGAATTTATTACAAAAATATGTTCTTTTCATGCTATTTATAAAAGTTTGAAAAGTGGTTTACCATAAATAACAATTTTGTTTATTGTATTAATCATTTATAGATAGAAAACTATAATGTATTAATCATAAATTTGTTCTAAATTAATTTTGATCAGATGTGTTGTGGTAGAAAATTTGAAATTAATTTTAAGCAGTTATATCATTTCGACATTAATGTCAATTAATATAAAACTAGTTAATTAAAGTTTACATTATATAATGTTAGTTTTATAAATTTTTATTGGGTGCCGTAGAAATAATTTATTATTTATGTCTTAACATATTAAAAGACATTTGGTGAATTTTAGGACATAAAAGACTTTATTAAACATAGTTAATTCATAGTTCTGTCTTGATACAGATAAGATGATAAATATGATGAGTACGATTAACCAGGATAATCACTCTAACTAAGTTGGCACCCATCCATATATGTTCATCATTATTTATTTAATGGTTCTTAACATATATCATATATCATATGAAGGCATTGGACTATGGATATATTTTTTTTCCCACTGTATTGTATAAAGTGATATATTTTAATTAGCATTTTCTCAAATATTTTATTTATTTGGTGAAGATCTAGATGGAATGATTTTTTATATATCTGTTAAAATAATAATTAATATTATTATTATATTTTATATATAAATATTTTGTTATAAATGCAACTAAGAACTTTCTATTGATGTCTATTGCTAT